TGACGTCAGTGTAGCGATAATCTAAAAGCAACATGCATTTCGTTATTACAGGCGATTTATCTCGCTGTTATTATTTAGTTGTCTGGCCATTAGCAAATTAAAGGACTCCTATGAATTAATCACGCACTATTAATTATAGCGCCGTGAATTGTAGCGCCGTTTCCATCACAATTTTCCAAATATAGCGGAACATAATAAGGAGTTTTTGGAATACTTTCCAGCTTGATATGTTATAAATATTTACATCGTATTTTTGTGATATAAATCTTATCACGAAATAGATAAGGAAAAATGATTCGATTCTATTCAATGAAGTTTAAAAAAGTAGATATATATATATATAATTATTTAAAAATAAACATGAGGACATTGAGTGGCAATTAAAAGGAAAAAAAGGGAAGGCCACCGTGCACGAATCGAACAAGGTCGTGCAACAGGTTTTACAAGGGGTAAAGATGGCGAAGCACGCAAGCTACTTAGAATCTCCCGAGTGCACGTTTGAAACGAGTATCTTTCCTTATTTTCTTTGTGTGAATAAAACGATCGTTGGATTTACGATACACTGGATTTTGTTCCGAATGCGCTCATAATAAGAACATGGAAAGATAAGGTCATAGCACACGTCTTATATTTATGTGTTTTGTAAAATTAGCAAAAGAAATATATTTTACACACGTCGTTACTGCCATTACTTTCGTCGTTCATACAGTGGCCTCATTTTTTAAAGCGTTAAGACAGCCTCTAGACGTTTATTTTGTTCTCAGCGTTGTTTGTCCACGTTTAAGCCTGGAATTTTTTCCGAGACTCGTCAGTTTGTCCTCTTGTTTCTGGTATTCTATACACGACAACGGTCTCACTTATTTACGAATTCGGAGCCCGTTCGTGAGCCAGAATGCGTTCCACGCATTTGTACCTTTGATACCTTCCTAACTTCAACTCGATGACAAAGGAATATTGGATTCTCTTGTCATGGTATATCGACTAGTCTGCTGTTGCTGTTGCTTTTGTAACCAATGTGCGAAATGAAATTTCCAACAGAAATTTATCTCGCCTGAAATGACATAAAGCAAAATCGAGACTATAACTCTCGAATAATAACCAGTCTTATCTTTTTTTAATAGATTCACAAATAATTCTTGTTAATAGAAACTTGCAAAAGAAGACGATATAACGATACCGACAAAGATAATGCATAATATCGAATGATACGAATACGGTAGAGGATGCAGTCAGTTAATTCCGATGTAATGCACCGGATGGAGAGTAATCGTGATTTATCACGCGCTTGCTATACTTATTTTATTAAAATTAATATTATTTTATATGATCTCTTGAACATTTCGTGATGTAAAAATTATATCAACATTTTCGAAACAACATTAAAAATAAAAATTTAATAAAGATAAGCTTCTTTTTCTTTTAAGAATACATTATTCGAACATTACATGAAGAAAAATGCAAGAAATTTTTTCGAGGTAATGCATAATACTGTCATAAGCAAGTTCTATGCACAATGATCCATTAAAAAAAAGAAGCAAAGCTTGCTATATGCCCTAATAGCAGGATACTAAAGCGGAAAGAAAGGGCGACGGACGACAAACGGCAACTACGACGAGCTAGACGCAATGCTGATGGAATGTCACGAACACACGTCACTTCCACCTCTTCCGCTTACTTCCATGTACTACATTGAGCGCGAACGAAAACCGTTTGCAAGGTCGGAAATACGTTAGGCGCGTGACAACGTTCAACCGGAAGTGACGCGAGCGCTAGACCTCAAACATGCGATCGAGAGCCGTGTATACTTTGTGGAGAGTCGGTAGATGCAACTTTCTACTTTCAAAATCTCAACCGGGAACGATAAGCTGCCGTCACTATCTACAAAGACCAATCTTTTCAGTGTAAAAGGAGAAGATGAAAAATTGCTTTAAAGCTAAAACGTGACTTTGTAGGACAAAATCTCAATGTATTTTTGAAGCAACTTGATATATGTGCGATGTACGAATACTTGAGAATGTTTTGTTTTCTTTTTTTTTTTTATTTTAATGATAATTTAACTGAAACTAAATGCAATTGCTCCGACTCATTCAATATTGTTTGAGAAACTCATGACGAACGAAGATACGATATGAATCGTGCCAGACATGTTTTACATTACGATATCGCATGTCATATAATAATAATTTAATCGTATTTATAATTTAAGTAAGTTATCTTTTTTTCTCGGACACAAACCATATTGATATACTCGGCTATATTACTCATATAAATTTTAAAAGGATTGAGATAAATATATTTTAAGTGCTTTTTAAATTCCAACGACGAGTCTCTTTGCAAACATGAAAAATATTTTTACAAAAAATTTAAACTCTACTAATTTAAATACTTTTCGCCTCGACAGCTACTAAATTTTCCGACTTTTACTAAACTTTTTCGTTGCCGTTTGCAAAATGCATCGCGAAATTTATATTGTCGGCATGCCGCGTTTAATCATCGTCAATATGCGCATAGCAAATATCTTCAATCGCGAACTGAATTTATTCCCTTCGGGAGAAGCATGGGGCAAACGAAATTCTTGCGTGCCTCAGCCACGTATTTTCCCGATTCTCTCTGCCAAGCTCTGGCGTGCTATTCGGTCCTTCTTTGTACAATTAAGAGTTTTTGTCGTCGTCCATGCGACGGCAGACACGAGGGATAGGCTGCCTGTGGGGGGTACGATTGAGAGAAACGAAGAGAAGGTGGGAAAAGAGACGTTGCGATAGAGAGAGAGAGATAGAGCAAGGATCAATATGCACCTCACTGTCGCGAGCGGTCGTAGGAAAAGCAATTTCGTCACTTTAGGTCCAAATAAATGTTAAAAAAATTTATTTCATTGTTACCGGTAAATCAAACTAATAAATCTTGTCTTTGAGTATTAATCGATTAATTGATAAATTTCGGCATTAAATATTATTAAAACGTTTTCATTATAAAATTAAATAATTTATAATCTTCTTTTTACACATTTTGAAACAATTTCATGGCAATTATCGTAAAGAGATTTTGATGAATAATAATAAATATTTCCTCTGACAATTTCAATTAAAATTTAATCTTTACAATTTTCATTTCATTTATTGTTTTTTATATTTATGTCTCTGAAAATTGACTTGTTATGAAATCTGATATTTAATAAAAGAAATTGTATTTTAAAAACTTTAACTAGCAGTACTTTTTTCTTATGAATCGAAGTTTTCTATTGGGTATTGGATGGCTGGTATATTGAACATCAGATGCAGTGAGCTCTCTATTACGTGTCAGCGGCAGCGTTATAGGTTTGCGGTACGTAATCTTTCCCACGTCTGGGAACGCGTCTTGCTTCTCAGTATATATGTCATGCACATATGCTGCATGCCTGTAATTCATAAGAATTCATAGCTATGAGTAACCGCAAATACATTCGTTTAAAATTATCCGTTTTTTATGATTTTTTTTTTATATACAATTTTCATAATAAATCTTTTGCATTTAACTGTTCTAGGCAATAATATAAAGGTATCGGATAATCAATTTTTTCTGATTTATAAAAGTTTCGTATAAATATTATTATATCGTTATCGTTATGTAATAAATTAATTAAAATTGTTAATTTATTTTAAAAATATTAATATTTAGATAGCTCCCAAAAATTTCTTTTCGAGAAACAATCTTTCTCTTTTCTTAGGACTATATTCCAAAATTCATGTAATACTGAAACTTTATAGTTCATGGTAATGTATATTATACATTAGTGTTGACAATAAATTTCGAAACACAGCCTAGTGCATTGCTGTAGACACGCCGTTGGAAAAATGAACAAAAACGTTTGGTACAAGGGACTGGACGATCGTGCACTCGCAAGCTAATGGCCAATATTTCGCGGTGGAGAAAGCGAAGCGTTGAACGGAGGTCGTGGGCCTCGTTAAACGCCGTCCATAAACTTAGAAGAATCGTTTCACATTGTGGAAATCATGATATTGCGCGAGAATCAAATGTGTTAAATCAAATAACATTATTGTATGGGAGCGCGCAAGTTTCTCATTCATCATGGATGTTATCTTTGTCGGCGGAAATAAAAACAGATGAGAAATCGATGACGCGATAAATAATCTTTTTTTTTAGTTTCTTAATTATTTTCTTTAAGGACGCTAGAATCTTGAAATTCAAGATACATCGCTGATTTATAATGGGTCCTTACTAACACGAGAGAACTCTTACGAGACTTACAGAGCATGGTTACGATATCGCATGGCGAGGCCGTAAAAGCATACAAGTGTTAAGATGAGCCCGAAACAGTTAGACATACGCATGTTCTCAAAGAACTAGGTTGTTACATAAGAATAATTCAATTCTATTCAAATATAAGTGAATTTTTACCTCGCTGTATATGATTAACTCACACGTACGCATGTATATTTATCAAATCATAAATTAATAAGACACGTACGCACGGAAGAAAAGAATTGTGCCGTCACAGCAAAACAGTTCCCGCTACTTTATACTCAATTAACAACTTAAACTTTGCTGTCAATTATATGATATTACAATGAATTTGGTTTTCATGATAAAATAAAATATCTTGCTATATAAATATGTTTGTAGAAACGCGAATCTGCAGTGAAAGAAAATTTAAATTGTTAATGAAATATTCCTAGCAAAAGTATTTCGTTATTATTCTTTAGTGAGATTCTTTTAGTGAGATAAAAATCAATTTGTTGGTATACCGAAATAATCAGATTTGCCAAAACTATTTTCAATATATAAATAAAATTAGTATCTTTTAAACGAATCTCTTGGTTGTTTATATAATAATAATTAGCAGCACATACGGTAATTGGTACGACAGCTTGATATACGTTGCACAAGTTTCTTCATGCACTAAACACATTATTAATGCAAATTTTATATAGCCGCGGAGTTATTAATTACGCAAATGATACGGGCGTGTGAATTAACGGCGGTTCCTATGTGTTTCGCCTCAGGTTACGTACTCGGCCGATCTCGCGATCGAGATACCAGGCAACCTGAGTCAGGGTGGTTCCTGGTACCGTTTGGATTACAGCCCACCCGTCGGCTCTCCACCGCCAAACACCACCATAGCTGCCACCGACATCGGTGATGTCATAAAGTTCAGGGACGGCCTGCCTGGGACAAGATACGAGTACTGGCTATACTACAGCAACAGCACTCTTCACGATTGGCTAACATGGACCGCATCGATTACAACACGTATGAAATCTGATTCTATAAATATTTTTGACAGTATATATTTTTTAAATATAGTCTATCTTTTTTCCCAGCTGTTATCATTTAAACTCTTTATGTGATGATTTATCTTGATGATTTTAATCAATTTTTAATATCCAAGTAAGCAAACGATTACTTGTTTATTACGATAAATTTCACTAGACGATCAATTAATATAATTTAATTCATTAGCACCCGATCCTCCATCAAATTTGACGGTATCGGTGCGAAATGGGAAGACCGCGATCGTATATTGGTCGCCTCCGGCCCAGGGGAATTATTCCGGTTTCCGGTTGCGGACGCAGAGCTTCAGCGATACCGGAAATCCCAAGACCACTGTCATCCCCGTCGATTCGGTACCCTACACACTTCGTGATCTCACGCCTGGTGCCACGTACTCGCTTCAACTTTTTACCGTGTTAGACGCCAAAGAGAGCGTTGCTTACACTAGCCGAAATTTTACAACAAGTACGTATAAATACATATCTTGAAAATTCAAAATATTTCGTAAAGATTGATATATTTATGTATATCTAATGTTGAATCATTTATAGAACCGAACACTCCGGGAAAATTCATAGTCTGGTTCAGGAACGAAACGACGTTGCTGGTGCTATGGCAACCACCTTATCCAGCCGGAATATATACACACTACAAAGTTAGCATAGACCCACCTGACGCGATAGAATCTGTTCTCTATGTAGAGAAGGAAGGCGAGCCACCTGGTCCTGCACAGGCAGCTTTCAAAGGACTCGTTCCAGGTCAGCTGTTTGCTATCATGTAATCACATTCGCATATTGGATCGCAGAACTATTAGGCACACTAAATAATCCAGACTTTGTTACATAAACTTATTTCAAGATACATTACATCATTTCGTGAAAAATCAATTTTGAGCAAATAGAAACTGTATTTCAAATTACAAACAAATAAGGTTCGTGTATTCCATATAAATATTTGCGTATATCGAAGTCAAATCAATTTCATTATTTTATTTTTCTAGAAATGAAACTCATAGTAGAATCACGGAGAAAGTATGCTGTAAATAGAGCAGTGCATGAATTGCAAGAGGATTCCACAGTTGTATCAATATTTATTATTCTTAACATTGAAAACAAAATTAAGGTCTTTAATAGAATTTAAGTAGGCCTGCTAAGGAAAGTTAGAGATTGTAATTTATTCTCGTCTTATCTTAGTTAGAGATTGTAACTTATCCATATATACAGATACAATGAATAATTACGAATGTATTTATTTAGTTTTAATTGAGTCGTACATTAAATACTTCGTTTTCCATACTTGACATGATACCTTGATACGCTTGATTATACAAGCATGCAACTCGTGAATTCGTTATCACTATTGGTATCTGCGGTGTTTCTTGGAAAGCAAAGTTGCGCAAGGAAAAATCTAATACAATAAAAATTTAAAGAGAAACTATTTAAAAAAGACATTTTAAAAAACACAAATAGATAAACAAATTCTATTTGCTCTTATCTCTCAAAACTCTTAAAATTATATTTTTATATAATAAAACAAAAATTAATTATAGGTTTTAAACTATTTTACAAACATTTAATATCAATAAGATCACTTTTAGAGAATTTTGAATACAAACATAGATTAAATATATATACATTTTGACATTTATAAATTTATTTAATTTATCGTAAGTTAGCATTAATTTTTAATTAAAGTAAAAAATACATTATGATAAATTGGAATTCTACTTACATAAATAATTTATTTGTATAAATTTATTACTTTTTTTAAAATACGGAAACAAAGTATGTTTATTTCTGCTAAATTATTTACATTTCCGGTAACAGGTAGAGCATACAACATTTCCGTACAGACCGTTTCCGAGGATGAAACATCCGCGCCCACCACAGCCCAGTACCGTACGGTACCGCTGCGTCCCCTCAACGTGACTTTCGACAAATCTTCTGTGACATCAACTTCCTTTCGTATGTTTTGGAACCCTCCCAATGGAACATCCGAGTTTGACAAGTATCAAATATCGCTTGGTAGTAATCGGAGGCTTGCGCCGGTCACGCGCAACCGAGATGACGAGAACAGATGGGAGTTCAAGGACTTGGAGCCTGGCAAAACATATCAAGTAGTAGTGAAGACGGTCTCTGGCAAGGTCACCAGTTGGCCGGCCAGTGGAGACGTTACTCTAAGTATGTTCTCTTTTATGCCGCGTCTCTTAATTTAGAAATCACTGAAAATAACGTCCTCGTAATTATTTAGCATTACATTTTAATTTTATTCTTTATCATGTTTGTAGGACCGCTACCTGTTCACGATCTTAGGGCAGTAATTGATGAGAAGACTGGTATGGTAGAGGTTTCCTGGAGTCCAGAGAATTCCAGTACGCAGGACAGTTACAAGTTGCAATATCACGAAGTGGAAACATCCATTGGCGGCGATAGTAACACTTTAACAACTGATAAAACGAAGGTGAACATATCACAGACTATTGTGCAAAAACCTCTTTTACGTTGTCTTCGTTTTTTTTTTTTATAATCTGTCTGACATAATTATGAACTTGATAGGTAACTCTGGAAGCTCTGCTGCCAGGAAGAAATTATTCCATAATAGTTCAAGCAATTAGCAATAAAGTCGAGTCGAACGAAACTATTCTATACCAAGCGACACGTCCTGCCAGTCCCGTAATTGAGGATCTGAAGCCCATTGAGAAGGGTTTGAATATCTCTTGGAAGAGCGACGTCAATTCGAAACAAGAGAAGTTTGAAGTGACTCACAACAGAAATGATACTGGAGAAAGTGCAACTACTCTAACTACAGAATCGCACATTGTTTTGGAAGATCTTTATCCTGGTGCAGCATATGAAGTCAAGGTCTTTGCCATTAGTCATGGACTTCGAAGCGAGCCGCATGATTATTTACAAGCCGTTTGTAAGTAATGATTATAGTCAGATTTTTATGTTATTGTATCTCATTCAACATCGAGAAGTAGAAGTAATTTACTGACGATTTATTAAATTTTTTTCAGTACCTCATCCTCCGAAAAATCTTAGTATCGAAAAAGTCACGAGCAACACTATTGTCGTGCACTGGGAAGCGCCAACAAATTCAATATTCACTGAATACTCCATCAGATATCGCACTGAAGATGAACCCAGATGGGTTAAACTTCCCAGCGTGCGTGACACGGAAGCAGAAGTGGCAGATATGACACCCGGTGAAAGATATACCATACAAGTGAACACTGTCAGTTATGGCGTCGAAAGTTTGTATCCACTGCAAGTGAATCACACAGTCCGTAAGTATATCGTAAATTATTGCATAATTCTTTGAAATTAATAATTAATAAAACTGGAATAATTAACGGCGATGTAAAATTTAGATTTGGATATATTTTTTATGTGTAATTTTAGGACCTAACCCAGTTTTAAATATTACCCCGATTATCGACTCTACCAATGTAACTTTGGAATGGCCGCGGCCTGAGGGTCGCATCGAGACCTACGTTATAAAATGGTGGCCAGTAGAAAATCCAGAGGATTCCAGAACAAAAAATGTCAGCGAGAGCAATGATGTACCCGATATCGAAGAGAATTCTATACAAACCGAGAGGATTTTAGTGAGCGACCTAATGCCTGGAGTGCAATATTTCTTCGTTGTCTACACAATTTCCTATGATCTAGTTAGTGACATCAGCAATTTAACTACGAGAACGAGTGAGTGCATCGATTTCCTCAGTTATCAGTGATAATGAGTGAAATTATGTTAATATATCTACTACTTTTCGCTGTTTAACGATTCATTAACGAATTTCGCCTGAGCATGAATGTTATTGAATATATCCTAACCAGTTATTAATGTTATATTATCGTTGTGCTCTTTATTATATATTTCTACTACATTGTATTCGTCTAGCGTCAGAATTTAGATCTATTCTTTTTGGCTGACCTGGTTGTACTAGTTCACAGTTTATTTTTCTTTCTTATATTAGAAGAAGAAAGATAAACTCTGAATTAGCCAGTTTAGTTAAAGAGAACAGGCTCTTTATCTCCATAATTTATTTGAAATCTGACGGGTAGCGGGCGACTAAGACAGTGGTAGGTTGATTGGTAATCAGACAAACAAAAACGAAACTTTGAAATTTAGTGCCACTCTCCGACTCAGAGTCGTCGTAGTGGTCGATCGGGACCAACCGGGGTCATTAACGTTGAGATACACGCCGACACCGATTCAGTCCTCGAAGTTCGATCTTTATCGATTCAGGATTAGCGATGAAACTAATACCACGAAGGAACGTATGGTGGATGATGTTGACACCAAGATTACATTTGTTGGATTAACACCTGGGAAACTGTACAATGTGACTGTTTGGACAGTAAGCGATAATGTAGAGAGCAGACCTCTCCTTCGGCAAGACCGACTCTGTAAGTATCCATGTGATACAGCGTGAATTAAAATGATTAGACACTAATTTCGTAATTTTAATTAATATATACGAGTGCGTCTGCTTAAAAGGATGAGATTTGTAGTTTGTATTATTCTTATATCTAACGTAACATACTTAAAAACTACGACTTCGCAAATAATCCACCTAAAAACATGGTATCATTATTGTTTTTTTCTTTGAAATAGTTTTTTATTATTTCACAACCTAACATTGTAATTATTACTTTATGTACAAATTATAACTGTGAAAAAATCGCAGTGAAGGAATTAAATAAGATTTATAATCACATATGACGTTTCAGTTTTTCATACGTATATGTGTATACTAAAAATAATTTTTATTAGCAGCCGCAGATCTTACTATATATATATATATATATATATATATATGCTATCATATGTTTATCTAAAAACCTTTTGAGCGAAAACCTTTTTTATAATATTTATGTAAAACTGATCAGGCATTTATTTTTGTCTATTTTTATTAGCCCGAAGATAAATATAATTTTTAGATCCTGAACCGATCACTGCGATCCATGCGATCGACGTAAATGATACGAGGATCACTTTGACCTGGGACACCCCACACGGAGAATACGATACTTTTGAAGTACAGTACATTAATACGGAAGGAAACTACATCCAAAATATAACCTCGGTCAATGTGATCACCATCTTTGATTTGAAACCGCATAGAAATTATACGTTCACGTTGGTTGTACGTTCGGGTACAGAATCATCTTACCTGAGAGTCTCAAATCCGCTCAGCGCCAGCTTTACCACCAGCGAATCGTATCCAGGAAAGGTGGAGAAGTTTCATCCCATCGACATTCAACCAAGCGATATCAGTTTCGTGTGGTCTCTTCCTAGCCAGGAGCAAAATGGCATTATTAGAAAATTTAGCATTACCTATGGTTTAGAAGTAAGTTTTCCTTTCATGAAAATATATTTAAGTATAATTACCTAAAAAAAATATGAGACATATTACGGATAAAGTTAGTTTGAATTTTTTTACACATTGAAACCCATGTCATGTGGTACTTTAAATTATATAAATGTTCTCTTACAATTCTACTAGGGTTCAACACATACCCAGATGCAAGACTTCAGGCCAAATGAACTACGCGGTGTAATCAAATCCCTCATACCGGGCAAAACTTACATCTTCCGAATTCAAGCGGAAACTAAAATTGGCTTTGGCCCTGAGGCGGTCTGGAAGCAGAAGATGCCAATACTAGCACCGCCAAAACCGTCCACGCAAGTAGTACCGACCGAGGTCTGTAGAAGTAGCACAACTATTCAAATCAGATTTAGGAAGAATTACTTTAGCGAACAAAACGGTGCGGTAACGTCATATACCATCATCGTTGCCGAAGATGATAGTAAGAACGCTTCTGGACTGGAAATGCCTAGTTGGAGAGATGTTCAAGCCTATAGCATTTGGCCACCCTATCAGGTAAATTTTATTATTAGATTATTAAATTATTTTTATAATCAAGTTAAATGTGATTACAAAGTAATGCAGATTTTATTAAAATAGCACAGCTACTTTGCAAAGTTCAGATATTTGTTGTATGAATTTTGAACTTAAAAATGATTGATTGGTCAACAGATTATAGAATAATCTGTAAAATAAATATTTGAAAACTTACACAACAACGAAAAAATTAAATTTCAACAACAAAATAAATATAGTAATGTGTTTTTGTTACAATAATTAGCAATGTCAATCTCAACTCAATGTACAAAGAAAACGCCAGAAGGATAAGAGGCAAACTAAATCGTTCAAGATAATTAATGCAGTACATTATCCCGCACCGTGCTTATTGACTTGCAAGATCATGGACAGTTGTCGTAAAATGTATGCGTTATGACGTAGATCCGCAATCGCACATAAATAGCTTACAAGCTATGACTAGAACATTATGCGCAGAACGAAGGATACGTATAATCTAGTTGTGATTTAGAACTGTGAAGGTATAGATGTGATCAACGCGATATATGAATATTTTACAAAAGTCGCGAAATTATATTTAATTATTTATATATTTACTATCGAATAGAAAAGCAGTGCGTGTAAATCAAATCTAATAAATTTTTTGTAAAGATAATACAATTTTAAATTGACAGAACTTTTAATTTTTTTCTTTTATTCGATATTTTTGATAACATTATTAAATTCCGTACTTTTAGGAATATTTGAAAATAATGTGCGAGATTGTGAAAATATAACGCAGATATAATTACATCAATTTTGAAAATTATATAGTATTAAAGAAGTTGATTGTTCAATGGACATTGTACTAATTGATTGCGGTCTTTCCTTACGATTGTGATTCTTCGAATAGTATTACTGACGTTAATAGTAATTGCGTTAAAAAAACTGCGTAGCAAAACAAAAGCAAAGTTCATCGCGGAATGTATAGCACAGAAAATTGTGATTGCATTTTAGTTGTGAGAAAGTTTAGAAAATACGAAGATGGATATTTTGAACAACTTTATTTCAGAAACCAAGAAAATAGTCATGCAGGTGTGATAATAACTATATATACAAATTATGTACACACACACGTACAAATTCGTAATTATATAAAAGTATTTGCTTAAATTACTTAAATTTATATAACAAGTATATTATAAATATTCAAAAACTTAATAAATTTGGAGATATAAAACTGAATAATAAATTGGAGAGATAAATTGATTTAATTTAATGAATTTAAAGAGAATTTATATTATATTTACTCATTAAATTGCAATATTATATAATAGTATTAAATTAGTATCAGTTAGTTGATTACAATAACATGTATATTTTATAAATCCTTAGGTAATGGAGCCATATTATCCTTTCAAAAACGGATCAGTGGAGGATTTCACAATCGGCTCGGAGAATTGTGACAACAAAATTGGATATTGTAATGGACCATTAAAATCAGGATCTACTTATCGGGTGAAAGTGCGCGCATTTACAGCACCCGATAAATTTACGGACACCAGCTACAGTTTTCCCATTCAAACAGGTGAGAGCGATCGCGTGAAAAGTCTTAAAACATGAAAAAAATCACGTCCCATTAACGCATCCGATGTCTCTCTTTCTCTCTTGTTCTTTCTTTTTTGTGATTTAATGAGAACTTAGACATATTTGAGCAGGTATACATTATAATAACAATAATGGTATGTAATAACGATGCATCCGATGCGATAAGTGGTTTGTAAAATTTTAGAGGCACACTGCGCATGTAGTGAAAGCCTCGCTAAATTCATGCCTCGTTATTTCGTGTACATGTCTGCCCAAGGATTGCTGCTGGCAGGTAAGAGATCTTGGAATGGTAGTTCGAAGCTTTATTCATCTCGTGTGATAAGTGTGATATCTTTTTAAAGAAACAAATGTATAACTCACGCGACTGTTCTTGGCAATCGTCTGACTCATGATAATGCTCAAAATTCGCTGTGCGTGTCGAACAGATAAGGACAACACGGCCATCATAGTCGGTGTCACCGTCGCCATAGCATTGCTGCTATTTCTACTGGGCATCGGATTGTTCATGCGAAGGAGAAGAAGTCAGGGTCGCAAGACAACAGAAACCAGGGCAACCGATAATTTGTCATTGCCGGACAGCGTTATTGAGACTAGGTGCGAAGAAATTACTTCAATTTTACTAAATTGAGTAACTTGTAACAATAACACTGTTACACTTTATAAGATGATTATACCATACTTTCATTTTGGCAGAAATGCAAATTATTAAAAAATTAGAAATTTCATTTATCGATTCTTTGATCGGCTCTTTAATGTAAAATCAATCTTCTTTAATACAAATTTACAGGTAATTTCGTGCACTTTTCTTATTTTCATTTTTTAATGTTATTATGATGATCAAGCATTAGCTTTTATAATCATACTTATGAATAAGAATTTCTTCTTTTATTTTTTGAATCCTTTATATAACAAATGTGTTAATTTATTAAAAAAATAAGAAACTTTGGAAAAATTATTTATCGTTTAATTTTTTAATGTGAAGTCTACAAATGACAAACCTGTTTATAGTGCAAAAATATTTCATCGCGCATGTTGGCTAATAGGCTGAGTGGATACGCGTTTGTTCTTTAACGATCTTTAATAATTAATAACTCGTTATTAATTGTGAAAATCGCAAAATGATAGACTTTTGCAATTATCGAATCGGTGGACTTTTCAGTTTGTCCTGCTCTACCTGCACACAAGTAATATATCATTAGGAATCAAACACTCTATGACTATAATATTTATTGTTATATTCAGCCGGCCCATCAAAGTCGAAGATTTCGCTGAGCATTATCGTACCATGTCGGCGGATTCCGATTTCCGGTTTTCGGAAGAGTTTGAAGAATTAAAACATGTCGGAAGAGATCAACCGTGCACTGCAGCGGATTTGCCTTGTAATCGGCCAAAGAATCGTTTTACAAATATTCTTCCATACGATCACAGTAGATTCAAACTTCAACCTGTTGATGATGAAGAGGGCTCCGACTACATTAATGCCAATTACGTACCGGTGAGAGAAAAACTGGCCTCTTCTAAAACTGTTAAATTAAACGTTTCAAATAATTTAAATTTGACAACAATTCCTTTGACATATTTTTTTATCATATAACAGGGTCATAATTCACCACGAGAGTTTATCGTGACTCAAGGACCGTTGCATTCGACTCGCGATGATTTCTGGCGAATGGTGTGGGAAAGTAACAGCAGGGCTATCGTAATGCTAACGAGATGCATCGAGAAGGGCAGAGAAAAATGCGACCATTACTGGCCGATGGACACTTTGCCAGTTTATTACGGAGATATCTGCGTCACAATACTCAATGAGACGCACTATCCGGATTGGAGTATCACAGAATTCATGTTATGCAGAGTGAGTAGTTATTTTTTTTCTAATATTTTTTTAAAAGCATACAACTCTTATTAATAATTAAATTTTCTAAATCTTTGATTAAAATTTAAAATGACGTGCTGTAGGGTGATGTAAAGAGAGTGATACAACACTTCCATTTCACTACCTGGCCGGATTTCGGCGTTCCCAGTCCGCCGCAGACTTTGGCGAGGTTTGTCCGAGCGTTCAGGGAACGAGTCAGGCCCGATCAGAGGCCTATAGTGGTTCATTGCAGCGCCGGTGTGGGTCGTAGCGGCACCTTCATCACTTTAGATAGAATACTGCAGCAAATTCTTGTTTCGAAATACGTTGACATCTTCGGAATTGTCTGGGCGATGAGGAAAGAGCGAGTCTGGATGGTCCAGACGGAGCAGCAGTATATTTGTATCCATCAGTGTCTTTTGGCTGTTCTGGAGGGACAGGACACCACTGGACCACCACGAGAGATTCATGACAATCAGGGATTTGAAGGTACGCCCCGAAATTTTATTATCTTCACGAGATAATCAATTGGGACAATTAAATTGCGGAACAAGGGTGATTAATCACAAAGTACAACTTAGAGAACACATCACAATGGGTAATCAAAATATCAATTGTTGAAGAGTTGAACAGTTGAAATCGATGAGTAGTGCATGAAGCGGTTCTAAATAGAATATCTGTGATATGTCACCTGTTTTCTTATGCAAAGTCTTCCCTTGCATGGAGACAGGTTAAATATTTTCTAGCAAATATTAATATTAATAAAATTATATTAATACAAAGTAGAATATTTTATACAGCGCAAGGAAACACGATATAAAGAGTAAATTAATTGGTTATTTTGCGATGGTGACGGTACGATGTAGGCAACGGTGATGGCTATAAACATACATTATTTTATCTTGTGATTGAAAACAACGATGTAAAACCCTTTTTGTAAAATGTTATCACTTCCTCCGCCTAGTAACTCACACCCCCCTTTCTGCAATCTTTTGCGACCTTTGTATTCAGGCAAAAATCGAAGCTCGGTCGAAAGCACTAAGAGTCCTGCCGAGGCTGAGAAGGAGAGGTGACCTTCAAATAGCGACTCCTGCATCGAGGGTAATTTCGATCGTTGCTTTTTTTCTTCCCTGCATGAATATACACGTTACGGACACTACCAAATGCTAAATTTCTATACTAATCATATATTTGCATGTGAGAACAAAGTAACAATGTATGTTTTATTGAACACTGATAATATTCTATCAACAATGAAAATGCCTACCTGCGTTACACAAATTATAAATTTAATTATTACGATTTTTCATACAAATTTCAGCGAAATAATTGCAACAACCAAGATTATAAATTTTGCTTTTTAGATATATTAAATTTTTTAGATATATTAAATTTTATATTAGATTTTACCTATTCAAATATATATTGGAATTTGTTATTTACACAATTTTTTAGAATATTACATTATTTCTTATTAGTATCATATAGTTACCATCTACAATATTCGAATATTTTTTCAAAAATTTTATTTTACTAAAAATAAAAGAAGATTTTTATCTGAAATTTAATTAATCACAGATTTTACAAAACACTGATTTTATTTGCAATCACAAAAAGTAACAATGTAGCTTGTAAAGTAGCATGATCGCAACGTACATGATTAATAATAGTTATAATGAATCTCTTCTAACTTAATTTCTTATTTCGCAGATGACGAAGGAATAGCCGAGTCAGGGATGTGATGGTTCGATTACTGGTTAGGAATAATGTCGATCGACGATGACAAGAGTGAATCTCATTTTCCAAAGGTGCTTGAATCTTTAGGATTCCTCAAGTTTTCTTGGAAAAGAAAAATATAGTCAGAGAAATAACAGTCCAGATGGACTGAAAAGATGAAAGCGAACAATGCATGAATAATCATTTGCAAAGCAATTAGGTTGCGTTGGTATAATTAATGGAAGAAATCTCCTGGAAGAAGCGTTTTACATTAAGGGATGAAATGAGCACGTACTTTTATTCCTCTATCGGCTACATATCGAACTTAAGCGTATTCCGTGATACACGTAGAGTAGTTTCACGAATAGGATAATTCTATCGGGAAAGTGTAAAAAGGACAATAACAAAGAAGGAAGAAAAATAACAAAGGAGATGGAAGAAATGGGAAAGTGTAAAAAGGACAATAACAAAGAAGGAAGAAAAATAACAAAGGAGATGGAAAAAATATCAAATCGAATATGCTGCCAAGTGTGGATTTACGAATCAAATGCTTGCGCGTTCTTTTATACGCGTTGTGCGACGATCAGAGAGATTACGTCTTTATTAATATATAACTCATACATATCTATGTAGTATACATATCTATGTGTAAGTAGCAGAAAGTTTATAAGGCGCGCGATGTTGATAAATGTAAATCATAAATTATAACGAGTGCAGAGATGCATATTCCACTGGTTGTGTCACGATGGGGCCATCGCACATCCGCAATGAGTCTATCGATCGTCTTTCTTAAGTCGCAATATGTAAGAAAATAGCATTTTAGATCAGTTGAATCTCATGCAGACATTGCGAACTGGCGTCTTGGTTCCTCTCCCGATGCAAACACTCTTCTGAGATTACCACCAATAACCACTTTGTTCATATTTCGCGTTCTATGCGAACGGACGCGTGAAAGATTATCTTTATGTTATCTTATTATCGTTTCCAGATATATTATCATAGTCGGATGAAACTCTCTTAAAAGCGATTCGAAAGCGAGACGAAACGCACTCGATGATCACGCTGGTTGAGTTATCGTTCAGAATAGCGAGCCGTCCGTCCAAGAATCATACCGAAGACGCGTGTTAGACCGTTGGTTTGATAAGTATATAGTAATAATGTCAAAACAAGTTATCTAGGAAAAAAATCGGGAGAACAAGCGGGTGTGGATGTGCGGAACTTTTGATCGATCTTTCTTTCTGAGATGAGCGAAACGATATCAGTGGGAACAAAAAACTCGCATTTTCGTAGAAGCCATATCATTTTTTGAAAAGGATCAGTGTGCGTGTATATGCGTGTGAGTATGCGTGTAGATATGTGTGCGTGCGTGTGTAAGTAATTGATTGATAATCAATTGACGCTATGTATTGTCCCCTTCTATCATTGCGAACCGTTGAAAAGCAATAGAATATCGTAATATAGATGTGCGATAATCCCCAGGTAGCTTCAGATAGACAAATAGACAGATAGACAGAATCTTGCAACTCGTAATTGATTCTCAATGGTGAACATTCAAGGTAAACAGACAACTAGAAAAATTGAATAATCATTTCCAGTATTTAATGTCGCTTTTGCGGCGATATATACAAATATTTGTACTTAATTTTATATTCTTGACATAGACGTGGCAAAACGTAACTGATTGCACGATGTAGATAAATTATTTTTTATTTCGTAATCGAAGTTAGTTGAATTTTATCTATCAAATTATTCAAAAAGATTAAATTTGAAAAAAAAAGGAAAAAAAAAGGAATTTCGTGTTCATCGATGCTGTATTTTTGGATGAGCATTTTTACAACGGTTCATATCGTGAACCGCAAACCTATAAACGATTGCAGGGGCTGTTAAAAATTACATTTTACGATAAGCACTATTCAGAATTTATATTAATCCGCTATTCGCTAGAAGCGCCGATAACATGCGTAATTAAATAACATGTAATTAAATAAATAAATTGGAATACACCAACATGAAACGTATATATTTTAAATAAATTTTTTTTAAAGCATGCTTTTAATAGTTTTAAATTGTTTAAAGCGGATTAATAAAAAATCTATGTGATTCATCGAAACTGTCTGTATGATAATCTTACATAACGTACTGTACGTATGCACGTTGATAATAATTGTGCTGTTGATATGCTAATGCAGCATGCTATCAGTGTTAGTTTATATGCGAAAGATGCGGAAGATATATTAAAGAAAAGCATGAAAAAGTATGAACGATATTCGAATTCTAGCATTCTGTTAACTTTCATTTTTATCATTTGTACTATTGTTTCCATATTTGAGAAATTTAATCAAAGATATGTATTGAAATGCTATTGTTGAAACAATTTAACAGTGAAATCGATGATTTTTCTTAATACTCAGATAAGAGTTATTTCAAAAAGGAAATTAATTTTTCTATTGTTTTTTTTAATGCAATATAGTTGTTATTGGAACTTTATAAACTGTATAAATTTATTTGTATTGCAGCTTTTATTTTTATATATTTACTTTAAGATCGGACCTACTGGACAGAAGGTTGTATTTTATCTAACTATAGACATATAACATAATGTGTTGACATTAATGAATGTGTATCATGAACGATAATTTTATATCTTATGTACATTTCCTCAACGCTATAATATAGCGTACTTGCGATTCCTGGTTAAATGGGACATTATTTATAATTGAATTCTTCTATTGATAGCTGAGCTCAAATATTTTCTATATTTTGTTATCGTTAATTAATTATACTTTTTTAAGTTATAGTTATAAATTATGCATATCTATATATAATATTAAAACATTTTTTGTAAATCTTACAATTAGATTAGAGAACTATTATTTGCAATACCGATACCAATGTTGAAAATTGTCTTTCGTTTTATTAACTGAGCTGAAATTTTTTACGATAATGTACTTGAACAATAACTGTAAGGATACAATTATGTGTTTCTTTTTAGAAATGGGATTATAAAACGAACAATAATACTATATCTCATATTTAGATCCGCAGATAAATCTGCATGTCTATAACTAAAGCAAAGAATCCAGCAATGTTGTGCAATCATTGTTCTTTTATAGTTAAGGTATCATAGAATTTGTTTTTAATCTGTGGATGAAAAGTCGCATCGAGGACAGGAATAACATGCATTAAATTTCAATCCATCAGATTTACAATTAGCTTAGTGCTTGAACTATTCTGCATTATTTTATTCTGTGATAAAGCATAATCGTCGATCAAGAACGAGGAACAAAAGACCCGTCAGGCACAAATGCGGTAGATCTTCCGAAACGAATTAATAGCAAAATCGTTTTCACCACCAGCGTTAGTATGTGCCAATCGTTATATCAATCGTCGACATCGAAATCCGAAACTTGCAGAACGAGATATTAATATACCGCCTATCAAAGAGTTTACTGGGCGATATTTTGTATATAATTTTATATTAAGATCGAGTTTTCTTTATGTCAAGTTTATTCATCATCAATCTCCTTCGCTCTAAAGAACTATTTTCTGTGAAAAATGGCGGTAATATCGCCATAAGACAAATTTATTCCAGTATCGACTATCTTTTGAACAAAATATTTAACGGCGAAGTGACACAGATGCGTTTTCACGACGATTCGATACGATGCAAAGCGATACGGAATACGAAGAGAGTACTTGATATGAATAAAAACAATAGGAACTTGTTGCAAATTATTGTCGCGATTTTTCACGAAGAATCGATAAATTTACACAAGCGCATACTCGGCATAGGTCTATAATCTCTTTTGTAAATATATTTTATATCGGCTGCGAGGGCAGTTTGTTACGCGTGGGCGGCTTCATAAATGAAGAATCCCATCTGTCTCTCGCAAGACAAGACTCGTAAACTCGTACAGTTATTTCTGTCACGTAATATCGTAATACATATTAGTATATATCTGAGAATTTGTACAACACGTGCGAAGCACGAAGGGGCACAGGTTGCCCTACAATATCGTATTATACAACATGCGAAAAAGAAGGGACACGCTTGCATAATAAACGTGGCTCTTCCAGTAATCATTCTTTCTCGCTTTCTTGTTTTATTCTGTATCCTCCATCATCAATTATCAATACATATTACAATTATCAATACAGTATTTAATAAGTAAATAAAAAATAAGAAAATCATGTTTATGTAAAAAAATTTTTTAGTAAATTATATATTTCTTTCTATTTTAAATATAGTTGATTGTGCTTTTATTTAATACATAATTTCTACATTCCAAATAATTACAAAGATTTTTTATTAATAATAATAATATAAAATAAAGATTAATACAAGTATCTTTTAGATTGAACAATGTTTGGACCGATTTTCTGGACGCTGATAACGCCTACATAATGTTAGTTGTTTTCGAATTTAATGGCACTTCTGATGGCAATTCT